TTCTGCTCTCCAGTGCTCACACCAGAGGTGTTTGCCAGTGATGGCAGTGTGAGATAATTCAGTGATCATGACATTCATAAACTCTCCTTTATTGGTAGATATGGAGTTGATGGTAAACCAATTCTTTATCTGCTAGGTATGCACAGTTCTCAGTGACTGTTTCTTCATGCTATACAGGTCAAACTGATATAGGTTACAAGGATTAAAAAGGACACATCTCTACCTGATGCTGCTCCCACCTATCTATCCTCCCTAATACACAAGTATGTCCCATCTAGGTCCTTACGATCTGCTGAATACTTACATCTATCTTCTGTCCGTACTCCCACCTCTGATGCTCGCCTTCAAGATTTCTCGAGGGCTGCACCGTTCCTGTGGAACTTACTTCCCTCCTCCGTTAGATGCTCACCCAGTCTCCAATCCTTCAAATAATCATTAAAAACCCACTTCTTCATAAAAGCGTATCAATTAAACTGTTAATAGCTCCTGACTGATTCCTCTCTTGCAACTGACACTAGCCTAATACTATCCTTACATGTTTGTGTCATTTTACCCCACTCCCTCTAGCATGTAAGCTTATTGAGCAGGGCACTCAACCCCTCTGTTCCTGTGTGTCCAACTTGTCTGGTTACAACTACATGTCTGTTCGTCCACCCATTGTAAAGCGTTGTGGAATTTGATGGCGCTATATAAATAACATAATAATAATAATAATAAAATACATTTTTATGAGCCCCCTGTAGTGCAAGAGTGGCCAAAAGATAAAACCCCATCTGTCGTACACCTCTCAAATTGGGATCTACCATTTGCTCAACCCTGCTCATCCTTGCAGGGTGTTTGTGCCTTTGAATGTAAGCATGTTTTTAATTAGAATATGTGTGCATGCATTTAGGGTGTATTTGAATGCCCTATTGATATTTGAATGCAGTGTAGTGTTTGTGTGTGAATGCAGGGGTATTTTTGTATGTAGTGTTGGCTTTTCAATGCAGTGTGTTTTTGTGTGTAGTATCTGTGTTTTAATGAAGATATGTTTGTATATAAGTTTGGCATTTTATTACAGGGGTGTGTTGCATGTAATGTTTGTGTTTGCTTGTAGGGGTGCATTTGTACATAGAGTTGGCTTTTAAATGCACGTTTACACTTGTCTGTAGCCTTTGTGTTCTATTGCAAGGCCATGTTTGCATATAGTGTTGGCATTTGACTGCTGGGATGTATTCACATATACACTGCTACTTACACACATACTTATGTTAATTTAAATAAATATTAACGCACACAGATACACATGTGTAAGCATAATGACATATACATACACATTCAGATACACATTGACACACACACTCTGACACATAGATACACACGCTGAAACATACATACACACACTCTCAGATACACACCCATACATACACACTTACACACAGATACTCACTGGCACACACACTCATGTATCCGATATAAACACCTTGATACATAGATACATACTGACAAATACACACACACTGACACACGGATACAGACACATATAAACATATATAAATTAATACAAACATTGCCTGTATCCACCCCTTTGTTACGCAAGACGCCCCTAGGAGCTTGTTCATGCTCTAGTAAGCTCTTGCATGATCTTTTCAGAAGTCGCATTGAACTGCTACAGTCTGTAATGAATGCTGCTGCCAGACTGATTTTCCTCTCCTATCGCTACTCTCACACTTTTCCCCTCTGTCAGTCTTTACATTGGCTTCCTGTTTATTTTCTAGCTGTAGATTCCTGCTTTAGCTATTCACTATATTTGTTTATATGATTATTTACTTGAAAATCACTTGCTAGTAAAAGTCTTGAAAAGGCTAAAAGTAGAGTGGTGAAAATTGTATTCTTGTAGGAGTAGCTCAGAACTGTTTTTTTTTATTTATTTTTACAAATGTTTAAGACAATAGACAATCACAGTCTGCTTAAACTAAAAACACAAAGAATGCAATGTTGCGCTGTTTTTATTGAACACACCATGTAAACATTCACAGTGCAGGTGGAAAAGTATGTGAACCCTTGGATTGAATAACTGGTTGAACCTCCTTTGGCAGCAATAACTTCAACCAAACGTTTCCTGTAGTTGCAGATCAGACGTGCACAACGGTCAGGAGTAATTCTTGACCATTCCTCTTTACAGAACTGTTTCAGTTCAGCAATATTCTTGGGATGTCTGGTGTGAATCGCTTTCTTGAGGTCATGCCACAGCATCTCAATCGGGTTGAGGTCAGGACTCTGACTGGGCCACTTCAGAAGGCGTATTTTCTTCTGTTTAAGCCATTCTGTTGTTGATTTACTTCTATGCTTTGGGTCATTGTCTTGTTGCAACACCCATCTTCTGTTGAGCTTCAGCTGACAGACAGATGGCCTTAAGTTCTCCCGCAAAATGTCTTGATAAACTTGGGAATTCATTTTTCCTTCAATGATAGCAATCCGACCACGCCCTGACACAGCAAAGCAGCCCCAAACCATGATGCCCTCACCACCATACTTCACAGTTAGGATGAGGTTTTGATGTTGGCGTGCTGTGCCTTTTTTTTGCCACACATAGTGTTGTGTGTTTCTTCCAAACAACTCAACTTTGGTTTCATCTGTCCACAGAATATTTTGCCAGTACTGCTGTGGAACATCCAGGTGCTCTTGTGCAAACTATAAATATGCAGCAATGTTTTGTTTGGACAGCAGTGGCTTCCTCTGTGGTATCCTCCCATGAAATCCATTCTTGTTTAGTGTTTTACGCATTGTAGATTCGCTAACAGGGATGTTAGCATTTGCCAGTGACTATTGTAAGTCTTTAGCTGACACTGTAGGATTCTTCTTCACCTCATTGAGCAGTCTGCGCTGTGCTCTTGCAGTCATCTTTACAGGACGGCCACTCCTTGGGAGAGTAGCAACAATTTGTCTTACTGTGGACTGATGAACAGCAAGGCTTTTGGAGATACTTTTATAACCCTTTCCAGCTTTATGCAAGTCAACAATTCTTAATCGTAGGTCTTCTGAGAGCTCTTTTGTGCAAGGCATCATTCACATCAGGCAATGCTTCTTGTGAAAAGCAAACCCAGAACTGGTGTGTGTTTTTTATAGGGCAGGGCAGCTGTGACCAACACCTCCAATCTCATCTCATTGATTGGACTCCTGTTGGCTGACATCTCACTCCAATTAGCTCTTGGAGATGTCATTAGTCTAGGGGTTCACATACTTTTGCCACCTGCACTGTGAATGTTTACATGGTGTGTTTAATAAAAGCATGGCCACATTTCATTCTTTGTGTGTTATTAGTTTAAGCAGACTGTGATTGTCTAATGTTGTGACTTAGATCATGATCAGATCACATTTTATGACCAATTTGTGCAGAAATCCAGATCATTCAAAAAGGTTACATACTTTGTCTTGCAACTATATATATATATATATATATATATATATATAGCCATTTCAGATTGTATATAAGGTTATTAAGTGGTCTAAAACTGTGTTCAGAAAAATTAATACCAGATTGTGGTATTTACATGCTATCCAAAAGGTTGTGCAATTGGATACACATAGTGGTTAATAATTATTTTTCATATTTTGCATAAAATTCTTGCAGACTGCAAAAAATGTTTTTTCCAATTTTATATTTGCTGTAAAACGGACCTAAATCATACTATTTTCAAGTCAGAATTTGCCATTTACATTACATGTGATTTGATATGGTAAGGTCAACAGTGTAACCATTTATTATTGTTACAGGCATTTCGACCTTTTTAAAGAAGTTCTGGACGCCTTGCGCTCATCGTTATTGATGTGGGGGAACCTACAGAACAGAGAATATGTGTTACAAAGTCTAAGAAACAATGAACTTCTTATTTTCAGCCAATTCTGTTAAAACTATGAAAATTACAGTAGTTTCTAAGAAATTGGTGCTAGCGAAGGCTGACATTTATACGGCAGATTTGCTATAAAACTGACTGAATAGAAACAGAGTGTGTTCCATGAAGGCATCATTCACCATGGTCTTTTTTTTTTTTTTTGCTTTCTCTCCAATTAAAAAAATAATAATAAAGCTTGTCATATTCTTTACATTTTAAAGATATATATTTTTTTTATCCATAGTCTAACATGGATATCCAATGAATAATGATGAATGATTCTTTAAAATACTTTTGGTCAAAAATATTGCATTAATCATATGACTTATTATAAAAATAGCAGGATAATTGTGAGCTGTTAAATAGGGCAATACAATAGGACAAATTGCATAAATAGTGGAATAGTTCTAAGCCCAAATATATATGAGAGTCAGTAAGTTGTAAATGTCAACAATGAATCTAGAAATATAACAATAGGTCCAGAAAATCCACAAATTATTAAGGCAGAGAGAGCCTCTTTAAACATCCAAGAATAGTGTATAATAAATGTAGCAGTCTGGTCTGAGTAATGTTGCAAGATGAGATGATATTTCAGAAATATGAGACACTGTAATATTCAGACCTGTGTGCCAAAATACTATAGTAATCATACAGATAACAGGAGAGTTCAATATCCTGCATATAACCATTTTTAGAACATTGCAAACTCAGGCCCTGGGGAGATAGCGCAGCTAAGCGGACAAGGGAACATGTAGGAGTACGGGGATAGATGCATGAGACTGGTTGGGAAAGAGTGTGTGGGTGGGATTATGTTCTGTGTAAATTAGTGTGGGAGGTCTTACCTCAGTGCCACTTGGGATTCGGGCCAGCAAACAGCTTCCTCTTGCTCCTGTTTGCCTGGGCCTGTAGTTTTACACAGCTTGAGGGATGGAGGTTGGGGCTTTCTGGCTTCCTTCAGGGCTGCTGCAGTGTGGATGGTGGCCGGCAACTCCATGATCCAGGTGATATCCTCTCCCCAGCTATGGATGCCGGCGTGGGTCCCCCCCGCGACCTGTCTCTCTCTGGGGCCTTCCCTGTGGCCCCTGCTCCTGGGGTTTCCCTGCCACTACAGGGGGGTACCTGCCACTATAGGGGGTACCCTGTCTCATCCAGGGGGTACCTGCCACTAAAGGGGTACTGTGTCTCATCCAGGGGGTACTCTGCCGCTAAAGGGGGGTACCCTGTCTCTTCCAGGGGGTACCCTGCCACTACTGGGGTTACCCTGTCACTCCTCCCCGGGCCATGTTGAGGTGTGGGAGCCTGGGCCCGAGGCAATGCCAGGACCACGTGTCTGGAGCCCCCTGCAACTTTTAAGGTGGATTCACGGCCTTCAGGTGCCGCGCGGGAAGTGAACAGCGGGCTGCACTTTTCAGCAGCGGGCAGCTGCCCAGCGGCCTTCTTAATCCCCCGCGGCTGGCGGTGCTGTGGCAAGGGCCCCCAAAGGTGGGTAGGCATGGCGGGGCCGCGCAGGGTACTCTGGTACCGCCGTTGAGGACCTCAGGTGGCCCAGGAGCCTCCTCCGCAGGTGGGGGGCTCCCCTGGGTCTCTCTCCCCTGTTCCTTCCCCACCCTCTGTCACTCCGCTTTCTCTTTGAACCCTGGCTCTTTCCGTTCTGCCCCCACCGCCTCCCCCTTCAGTTTTCTCCCCTCCACTTATACTGATCTGGTCCTGGGCCCCCCACCCCCCCTTTTTTTTGCTTTCCGGGGGGGCCCCCAACTCCTCACCCGGTGTCCCCTTGGTTCTCCTGTTTGTCAGTCCCTCTGTTCTCTCCTGTCCCCCACCTCTGTTCCTCTCCTGCCCCCCTCTCTGTTCCTCTCCTCTGTGTCCTTCTCCTTTTCTTTTCCTCCCCTGCTCTTACCTGTTCCTGTTCCACCATATGTTATTCTATATATAGTTACCAAATTGGGAGGTAACTGGAGGGAAGCGAGTATCCAAAGCTAAGTTTATTATTATTTTTTTCCACGGGTGTTTTGGTGGAAGCTATTTTTGTACTCTTACCTGTTCCGGTCTCTTCTGTTCTTCTCTCTGCCTTCTGTTCTTCTCTTTGATGGTTACTTACCTCGGCTGCCTCCTGGTAGAGCGTGGGCTCAGTCTTCTACCTACCCTTCTCACAGGTCCTGGCTGCAGTTCATAGAAATGCCCAGCAGGTGGCGCCTGGAGCACCTTGCAAGAACACAGTGGAAGCGGAAATCAGTGTCTTCTGCTTGGACCTTCTACGCTTGTTATGCCGCGGGCGGTACACCAGGCATTGGCTGGTATGTACGTTGTTCCTTCTTTATCCAGTCGGGTCCTTCTTTATCCAGCGCAAAACAAAACAAAAAAAAAAATGAGAAATAAATAAAAAGAACAATACAAAATGAAATACTTGAAGACAAACAAAAAAAAAAAGGGGGAGGAATAAATAAATAAAATGGAAAGTACAAGAAGACATAAATAAAATAAAAAAAAGGAAAGAAGTACGGGATCACCACTTACACCCCCCCCATTCTCAGTGTGTATCATGTGTTATAGTACACTTTCCTGCAGCGTCCTGCGCAGCTCATAGCGTGCAGGCATTTCCTGTGACTGAGGTACGCTAGTGTGGCCTGCTTGGCTTGCGCTTGTCACAGAATACTAGGGAGCGGGTTGGTGAAGGGTTTTTATTAGAGATATGTTCCCCCTGCCATTGGAGGGTCGTTGGAAGATACCGTAATTGGATACATCCCATGACGAGCGGGCATGGTGTTCGGGCATTGTATTTTCTGGATAGCATGGTCGGGGAGAGGGCTCCCTGAGAATGCTCTGCGATGTTCTGCTGTGTGGACACTCTCTGGGACGCGTGTCGTCCCTAGGGTGGGCTGGGTTTGTGAAGGTACATCTTGCACTTTTGTCAACGGTTGGCGGTGCAACCTTTCTTGGCCTGGGACCGGATGGACTTAGGCCTCTGGTTTTACTTTATGGCTTGCCCAGCGCCTCAGCATGGTGCGCTTTTGTCCTTTCTTGGGAGGGGGGGTTTGGTGAGGGGACGCTCTGCTCCTCACTGGCCCCCAGCCAGAGGCTAGGTGGTGGTTTGAAATTCACCAATGGCCACGGTAAGTGGGGCCTCGTGCTGTTCCAGCACGAGGCCTCCGGTTGCAGGGGGGCCCATCCCATCCTCCACAGTTTCATGCAGGCGATCTGTCGGGATGGGGGACGTGGGTGCTCTCCGGGCAGGACCCTCAGTCCATATGAGAACTCCATCGGGCCGGTTTAACAAATAAGCTTGAGAAGCTTTCCTCCCAACTGTTTTAGTGTGCCCCTGAAGTCTGCGCCACGGGTCTCCTCTTTTGGCATATGGTGCCCTTGGAGGAGCGGGGTCGATATCGCCTGATTCCTTATTTACTCAGTTGTCGTTCCCTTCCAGGGGTTAGGTATGTGTTGGCATAGCATGATGCAGTGGTCTGCGTGGGAGGGACTGCGGGGCCCTGGGGGCCTTGCTTATGAAGGCAGCTGTGGAATTGGCTTTCTGGCTGCTGCCACTGTGCCTGGCGAGTATTGTTTCCAGGCGGTAGTTAACGGGCAAGGTTAAATGGCTATGTGCCTCCACAAGAGTTGCTCCCAATGTCGCTTATGTGTGGGGCCGTCAGTGTCGCACGTCCGCGCTCTGCTGCTGCGGTGTTTTCTTGGGGTAGTGTTTCCGCATTCTGGAGTTCCGTGGCCTAGGACATATCCGTGGGTCAGGATGTGTACTGTGGTCTCTTGGATAGTGGGATCGATTCCGGCCAGGGGAACGTCAGTTGCCCTGGACTGCGGTTTAAGACATCCAGCGTGAGGTGTCGGTGGTTTTTAGCTGCGCTACCCAGGGGCTCTCCTGGGTAAGCTGGGATTTGCCTGTCAGTGTTGCCCTTGGGTTTCCTTCTGGGCCTCCATTAATGGTGGCTTGTGCAATCAAGCCCCCTAAGTCCCTTCCACTGACTTATCCACTGTTGCCACTGCAGCAGGTTTGGCGCTTTTTGGGGGCCATTTCGGGCTGTCAATGGTGTGCTGACTCTTATCCAGTAGGCTGGCAAGCATCGGGGCTCTTGCAGACTCTGGCTGTCTTGGAGCTTCCCATTCTGGTGGCATGGTAGGTGTGGGGTACCCAACTCCCAGACAGGTTGGTAGTTCTTCCATTGAGACAATCGTGGGGTGGTGCAGGCTGTCTATATCATGTGACAGTACCCTCTACCCCGGTGGTACCCTGGTTGCGGCGCCTGGCTCAGTGCTGCTTGAGTCTGGAAGTGTCTGGTCAGGTGGGGTTTTTCCCGGGGATTCTATCTTGTTCGCTGTAGGACCTACTTTAGGCGGGGGCCTCCACGGGGCTAAATTATATGGCAGTGGAGACATGGTCGCTCGGTCTAGCGGTCCCGTTCATGTTACGATCATATGCAGGTGGGAGGGTGTTTTAGTGGATTGAGTAGGCATCGGAATGGACTTCCTTCAGGCTTTCGCCGCTTGACGGCTGTTGTCTTTTGGTATGGTATGTTGGTAGTGGTTGGCTGATTCATCAATAGAATCTGTTCATCCTTGGACGTTGCGGGGTTGTTATAACCGGGCCCTTTTGCTTTTTCCTGAGGGAGATGGAATGCACAGGGTAATGGTTAGGCTCCTAACAGGATGTACTAGGTTCCCGGGATAGTTGGAAATATACCGTTCCGATTGGGGGAGGTGCCGGGTTCTGACATTTGTACTTTTTTTCCTTAGGTGAGTGCTTTTCTGTCACTTGGATTATTTGGCCTCCTCCCCCCTTGTTTGTTTCTCGTAGACAGGTTTTCTCTCCTGCGTCCAATTTGTTGGGGTGTTCCACTTGGGGCTCGTATTCCTGGGTAAGAATGGTGGGGAGTTCAGGGGGCATTCATTCCAGTTAGGGGCGGCTACAGGCGCCGCCAGGCTTGGCATGCCTGCGCCAATAGTTCAAAGGGCTCGAATGGTGGGAGTCAGGGTGGCAGGTTCCTTAGGTTCACCCTGCCGGTCTCCGGAATTGATTTCTCTCCGCAGTTACAGTTTCCCCCCAGAATAGGGATGGTGGGATGCTCCTATGTCATTTGGGCCAGGAGGCAGGGGGCGAGTGGTGGATCTTACGCCTTCCTGAGCGGAAGTTTGGGGGGTCTGTTACAAGATACATGAGGTTCATGTCAGCTGTCCCGCCTCCTGGGGTTCTCAGGGACTATCACCCGTTCCTGTTGGCGGTGCTCTCAGCAACGTGAGTGCCCTGGTGCGCTACCGTCGAAAATCGGACGAGATGGGTTTCTATGTTTGTCTTGGGGGATTCCAATTCACCTTAGGGTTTGGCCAGATGTGGCCTAGTTATCTCGAGGAGATGGGTGCGCTTGCTGGAGGTCAGACTATGCCTATGTTAATCTAGCACTGCAAGAAGTAGTGGAACAGACCATGGCTGGTTGTGGTGTGGTCCCCCGCTGATTTTAGGTGTAAAACAGCGGGGTTGTGGCAGGGGTATGTCCTTGCCAATTGAGTTTGAGGGGTTATGTTTAAGTATATGGAATGAGATGAACAAGGTTTTAAGGTCTCAACCTCCCCTGCTTCAAACGGTTAACATTAAGTTGCCTGAGATGTCGTGCCCATCAAGCGTGGATAAGGTCGGCTGATGGCGGGCATTGGAAAGATATGATTTTTAGGACAAGGGGGGAGGTGAGAGGAAGTGGTGATTAGGAACTGCTGTATGTTTATTGGCAAGGACGGTTGGGTCACTGTATAACACTATGTGTGGAGTTTTATATGTATATATGTTAATTTATGCTTATCTACAGGGAGTGCAGAATTATTAGGCAAATGAGTATTTTGACTACATCATCCTCTTTATGCATGTTGTCTTACTCCAAGCTGTATAGGCTCGAAAGCCTACTACCAATTAAGCATATTAGGTGATGTGCATCTCTGTAATGAGAAGGGGTGTGGTCTAATGACATCAACACCCTATATCAGGTGTGCATAATTATTAGGCAACTTCCTTTCCTTTGGCAAAATGGGTCAAAAGAAGGACTTGACAGGCTCAGAAAAGTCAAAAATAGTGAGATATCTTGCAGAGGGATGCAGCACTCTTAAAATTGCAAAGCTTCTGAAGCGTGATCATCGAACAATCAAGCGTTTCATTCAAAATAGTCAACAGGGTCGCAAGAAGCGTGTGGAAAAACCAAGGCGCAAAATAACTGCCCATGAACTGAGAAAAGTCAAGCGTGCAGCTGCCACGATGCCACTTGCCACCAGTTTGGCCATATTTCAGAGCTGCAACATCACTGGAGTGCCCAAAAGCACAAGGTGTGCAATACTCAGAGACATGGCCAAGGTAAGAAAGGCTGAAAGACGACCACCACTGAACAAGACACACAAGCTGAAACGTCAAGACTGGGCCAAGAAATATCTCAAGACTGATTTTTCTAAGGTTTTATGGACTGATGAAATGAGAGTGAGTCTTGATGGGCCAGATGGATGGGCCCGTG